CAACAATTATCTATTTTTTTTTTCACACCGAAAACCGATGATCCGGACGTATTACATGTACGTGTTTTTTGATTGCAACAAATTTTTATGACTACTACATTTTTATTAAATTCAAATCATTTTATTTTTTATAAAAAATATACAAATGAACTTAATTAACGTAAATTTTAAAAAAAATCGGGAGTAAAATATGTTTTGCGCAATCGTTGATTAAATTATAAAAGAAAATTTACAAGACATTTCGATTGCAACTGCTGCAAATAGGGTACTTTTAACAGATGTTTTTGCAAAACATCTGATTGCTTTAGATATGAATACAAGCGAGCACCCTCGTCTTCATTGTTTAAAATTTATCTGAAAAAAGTGGGCACTTGTGTTATAGAGATGGATTTCCCCTAGAGGAGAATCCCTCTCCCTCCCCCAGGCGAAATCACACCAGAGCCAAATTACGCCTTCTGTTTTTCTTATGCAGAGTTGTTATAGAGTCTATATAAACCACAGCTGCATTATTGTAAAATAAACGACAAATAGATTTTTAAATGAAAAATGAGTGTATTTCAACTTGTGTAGTTAGAATTATATTTCAAATCATTGATTCTCAACCCAAAAGTTTAGCTTTCAAAAGAAATTCAAATCTCCTCAGATTAGAAGGACTAGAAATATTAATGGCTCAGGGCGTCTCCATATGAGTGAAAAATTCTCGAGAGGGGCGTTAAACAACATACAATCAGTCAATCGATCTAATGGCTCAGCGGTAGGTGTACATGTGAATGGTCTAATCCCCAAAAGATAAACTGATCCCCGTGCGTTTAGTCCGGAAGCTAATCCCCCTTCATTCGTAATCCTGTATTTTTCTTTAATTATATATCAATATAATAAAACAGTCAAAAAGTATATAATTGGTGAGTTGGCAACATTATAATTCACCATGACCAGGACTATTTCCCGAGACGCAGCCACTTTTATCCGCTGACTAATGAAATCACGCCCTCAATCATAGCAACAATCAACTGCTTGATGACGGTGATATTACAAAAAAATATTGACTGTGCAGAATTTATGCACGCAAGGTTCACCGTAATATATTTTCATAGAATATTAAGAATATTATAATGCATAAAGCATGCAGTGTTTCAACCTTTGAAATCTTTGACAACCTTTACTGCGCCTCAGTTGACAATGGTTTTCTTGGAATAAAATTATCCATACGCCGCAGGTCTGAGATTCCAGTTCCCAAAGGTCAGGACATGGTTATGAAGGGAAACTGGAATCTTGCTTAGTCTCTCAATGATATACATTTTTACTGTTAAATTATACCAATACAAAAATAAAAAAAATATCAATGAGGATTACGGATAACTGGGAAGAAGCTTTTGGGTCAGCAACTAGCTCATTTGATTTGACACCTCCCGAAACAAAAGTTAAATCAATGAGATCTACAGATAACGGGGAATAAGCTTCCGAAGCTGATATTAGCGCGTTTGACTTATGCACGGGGATTAGTCACTTCACGGCAATTTCACAAACTAAAAAATTAGCTAGTTATATATCCAGTCGATTAGAAAATCCTTTAAAAATTTAAACGGTCGCATTTCTTTAAAAAAAATATTAAAGTGAAATGCTACTCATCAAAATACACTTCCATTCCAAAAACAACTTTCTATTTCAGAAATTTAGAAAAAAAATTTAGAAATTTTTTGGGGGACAGAAAGACAAACGGGGGGGGGGGGGGGGGGGGCAGCTAGACAGTGAGACAGACGGACAGACACAAAGGAGACCTTAACCAACCCTACCCCACCCTGTTTCACTGATGTAATGTATTTGATTGTTGTTGAGAAAAATTAGCTTGATTTTTATTTTTCAATCTTTGTATTCGTATGTGAACAGCACATATATCTACCTTTCTACATTTTGTAGTAAGAACACGTATAGCAATGTGCTGCCCCATCCCCCTGAAACCATAAGTACAGCAATTAAATTTTATTGGGAACACCATTAGC